GTGTTTATTTGTTAAGTGAATGCCTGATAGCCTTGCCCCTGGTTGGCAACTTTTGAAGGTGAGGATGGGCTCATGAGTACTTGGCCGTGGTCTCTGAATGTGTCCTGTCCTATGGCAACATAGACTGAAGCTCTCCCTTTTGGGCTAAGTGCTCATAGTTGCAGTTGGCCTTAGTGTGACTTCAGCACTTTCCAGAAGGTGAGGCTCCCAGAAATGCATCCCAACATTTCCCACATGAGGAGATAGTGTCTGTATGAACTGGAAATGAGGAGGTGATAATTTCTATTTGTAGGTAACTTAAACTCTTTAATCTTTTGAATGGGGGAAGGCTTGTTGAGAAGAGGGAGTAAAGCAGAGGTACTCAAAGTGGGTCTTCTGATTAGCAGCATCAGTGTCACCAGGTGGCTTGTTAGAAATGCATAGTCTAGACCCCACTCCAGAGACTCTGGGCTTGGGGTTCAGCAGTCTCATCCCCTCTGGGGGTAATTTTACTGCCAGTGAAGGTTGAGAACCTTGGTTCTAGAATGATGGTGAGTATGTGCCTGGTGCCTGACATGGTCAATGGTCCTCATCTCCAGCTGGGTATCAGACACATATCTATATCTATATACATATACATATCTACATCTATATAGATATATAGATATATTTTTTGAGACGGAGTCTTGCTTTGTCACCCAGGCTGGAGTGCAGTGGTGCAATCTCGGCTCACTGCAACCTCTACCTCCCAGGTTCAAGCAGTTCTCCTGCCTCACCCTTCAGAGGAGCTGGGACTACAGGCATGTGCCACCATGTCCAGCTAATTTTTGTATTTTTAGTAGAGATGAGGTTTCACCATGTTGGCCAGGATGGTCTCGATCTCTTGACCTTGTGATCCGCCTGCCTCGTCCTCCCAAAGTGCTGGAATTACAGGCGTGAGCCACCGCGCCTGACTGGGACATCTATATTTTTAACAAGTGTTCCGGGACATTCTGAAATGCAAGCTGATATTTTTTTTTTGAATAATCATTGTAGAAGCCTGATACATACTGCATTCTTTACATAATAACCTCATATACACTTGGTTCAGGATAAGGGCGCTTCCTCTTTCCTTTTCCTCTTGCAGTTGTGGCTCCTTCTCTAATTATCAAGACCTTCTCTATTAGTCCTGTTACCCATTAAGTAAAAACAGTCATTCCCTTCCACATGCTCTTCCTCAGGCTGGATTGTTCACTGCCACATAAAAGCCACAAGTGGGTTTTATGGCCTCATGCATACTTAATTTTTCTGTCTTCTCAAAATTGTGTTTTAAATGAGAGAAAACATTAGCCTCTGATCTAATTGATCCACAAAGCATCATTTCAGAATCTTTGCATGACTTAACTGTTGACCCAGACTGGCGTCGCGGTCCAGCAGAAGGCCACAGGTCAAGGAGGGAAAGGCCTTACTACTTCCTGTCACCCCTGTGAGTTGCTCTGCAAAGAGCAGGTGGGAACCAGGACAAGAGCTGCAGGCATGGGCGTTATCTGTCTCTAAAAGAACTGATTATTTTTTGTTTTGCCCACAGCTGTCTCTGTCCCCATCACCCTTATCTGTCATCATCAATGTGCACACCTGCATGATATTTTATGACACGGCACACCTGCTGAAATGGAGCAGTTGTCATGTTTCAGATTTGTTGTCTTGTGTGTATGTCATGAGGCATCATGGCAAAAATGAGATAGGGCTTCTGTTGTAACCCTTCCTCCCACTTTGTTACCCTCCAGCCTCATGGTGGGGTCCTAAAGCTGAAGACCTACCAGACTGCTTCAGCTGCCTCTCCAGGGGTGACTCTCTAGGGGACCCCACCCAGACATGTTCTTTTCCACTTCTGCATCCAGCTCCCTTTGGATCTCTCTCAAGACTCACACAAAAGCCTGGGTGAGGTTCCCCAAAGCCCCCTACCTCCCAGGTCTTTAGGCTGCCTTCCTTTTTGTTCCCACATTGTGTCACCTATTATAAACCTCTGGTAGACCATTTATTCCATCATGTTTGTATGTATGTTTGTGTTGCAAAGGAAATAAATGAATTTGTTTTTTACTTGCCCAGACCCTTTAGAACTTCTTTGGGAGTATTTGAAAGCCATTTGAATGAGGCCAGGACTAGCTAAACTTCGTTTCTCAACAGCAGCAAATACCTGGTGTTTTAAAAGTGACAATCTAATCACATAACTAGGGCTGAGTGATTTGCAAGTTGGCCTTGACTTGGCTAGAAAGCACAATGGAAATAGGAGTTGGAATCAGAATGCCAGAGATAGAGGGTGTCATAAACGTCATAACCCTGCTCCGCAGAGCTTGCCCAAGGCTAGGGCTGAAAGAGAGACCCCCAGTAATGAGTGTCACGTCCTTAGCCCTGTGCTGCTCACTGCCATTAGAATCACCTGGGAGCTTTGAAAGCATCCGAGGGCCCCCAGGCCGCTCCCCAGACCAGTTCGGTCAGAACCTCCTGGGTGGGACCAGGCCTCTGAAATTTTTAGTGCTCCCCAAGTGCCTCCAATCTGCAGGTAGGATTGAGAACCACTAGGCTCAAGGAGTTTGTTTAAATATGTGGGTTTGAAAATGAGGCTAAGAGGAATCACCTGGCTATAGCTTTTTTTTTTTAGTAAAGGGAAATTGAATAGAGGCATGCTAATTAGCACAGGCATATGTTTGTGCATAGATACATGTATCTGGACACTGCAGAGAGGTTGTATATGCTTGGATGTTTACAACAGTGTCCATATTTGTAGATTTGGAGGAAGGTTAGATCCATATGACTCTCCTTTTGACCTTTCCTTAGCAGACACACCCAGTTGGTGAGCAGATCCAGCTCATTCTCCCTGAAATAGAACTCTGCCCTAAAATGCTCCTTCCATCTTTTCCTGTTCATTTCCATTGCCACTGTGTTGATGTGGCCTTTTCTTCTCCCCGCTCTCAATATGGCCCAGGTGTCTTCTCTGCTGGCATTCTTCCATCCTCCATTCACCACACCTGGTGTGACCCTCACACTATTAAACCTTTGCTGTTCTCCAGTGCTCACAGATAAATGATGATAATGATAATGGTTATAACTGACCCTTCCCTAGCATTAACATGTATGTGTTGTTGACTCCTGACACCAGCTCGGTGAGGTAGCACTCTTGTCGCCCTTTTATAGATGGGGAAACTAACGCGCAAAGTAACTTGGCCAAGGTCAGCCAGAGTCGGAATGGACCCAGGTGGTCTGGCCCCAGAGCCTCTGTTTTGCTGCATCTCTCCATGCATTCCTGTCATGTAGGAAGGGAGAGGCTGCTCTTTGCTAACAGACTTTTCATCCATTATTTCTAATCTTCACATCCCTCCTGCTGAGTAGATACTATGATTCCTGTTTCATAGAATCCAGGCTGGGAGAGTTTGAATAACATGACTGAGGACACAGGGCTAAGGAAATAACAACAGGGATTCAAACCAGGTTTTCCTCCCTCCACCATCTGCATTCTATCTACTTAATTGCTCCGGATTGTCTAAATTCACCCCTGTGGCATTTGTGGCTCCTTACAGTCTGTCCTCACCCCATCTTTCCAGCTATTTTCTTCCTTCCTTTCTTTTTTTTTTTTTTTTTTTAAGCAAGGTCTCACTCTATTGCGCAAACTGGAGTGCAGTGGCGCGATCTCAGCTCACTGCAACCTCCCGGGTTCAAGCGATTTTCCTGCCTCAGCCTCCTGAGTAGCTGGGATTGTAGGTATGCACCACCACGCCTTGCTAAATCGTGTATTTTTAGTAGAGAAGGAGTTTTACCATGTTGGCTAGGCTGGTCTCGAACTCCTGGCCTCAGGTGACCTGCCCACCTTGGCCTCCCAAAGTGTTGGGATTACGGGTGTGAGCCACTGCTCTCGGCCCCAACTATTTTCTCTTCCATGATGAAATCATGCCACCCATCTTTGGCTCATGCTGTTCCTTTTGCCTGAAGTGTTCTTCCCTGCTCAGCGAGGACATCATTCAGCTGTTAGATCTCCCATGACAAGGACTCTTGTCTTGCTCATAGCACCCTGCATGGAATTTGCACACAGCAGGAGAGAGTAGCCATCTCATTTTCTTACACTTCAAGAAGCCCTATAAGAGTGCATCTCATCGTGGCCCCCTTAGTGTGAGGTTTGCATCACACATCTCATCTCCAGTCCCTTTGTGTTATTCTTAGGTACATGTTTACCTTCTTGCTAGATGGCTCCTTCAGGCCAGGTGTCCTCTCTCCATCACTTTTCTCTTGTGTCTAGGGCATTGCCTGGCAAGCAGCAGATGTTCAGTATATATTTGTTTAACAAATGTAGGGCAGACAAGAATACAAAAAACGGGGAAATCATAATCAGTTGGAGGGCAGTTGGGAGAGTCATAGTGCTTAGAACAGTCAGGGGTGTATTTACCTGATGGCCTCTAGGGAAATGTACACTGTTTGGAAATTTCCAGAAGGAAGCAAAGAGCAAATGAATACCCCACTGGGCTAATTTAGCTTGTCCATTTTGCCACTTAGGTTTTGTTAAGTTTGTTTTTATTTTGAGATGGGGAACAGGCTTTGCTAGCCTCCTTCGGAAAATCCCCTGGTTCCTCTGTCTTCCTGGCATGGACTTTATCCCTAGTATATATTTGGGATTGTGTACAAACTGCGGACTTCAGGACTTTTATAGGACTTCATGGGCGGTCTGTGGTGGAGGTTTGTGGGGGTGGGGAAAGCAGTGTTTCCGGAAGAGGGAAGAAGCTTTCAGGATGGAAACAGGTGCCAGAAAAAAACATTTTTGCTACTGGGAAAGTGAATTCGTTAACCGTTGAATTAGGGTTATGATACTAAATAAACGTCTTTCTGATTCGTCAGGTTAAAAGGCATTTACACAGCTGCCTTTTTGCACCTGGCACAGGAGGCCAGGTGGGAGGGTCCCGGGGGGAAGGACAGAGCGCACTGTCAGGTGGGAAGGAGAGGCCTCCTGGGCATCTCCTTGGATTGGCTCTGACATTTCTTCTTGCCCCCTTCAGGTGAGCGTCCTGACCACCCTGGAGCGTAGGTTCAACCTGCAGAGCGCTGACGTGGGTGTGATCGCCAGCAGCTTCGAGATCGGGAACCTGGCGCTCATCCTCTTCGTGAGCTACTTCGGGGCGCGCGGGCATCGGCCGCGCCTAATCGGCTGCGGCGGCATCGTCATGGCGCTGGGCGCGCTGCTGTCGGCGCTGCCAGAGTTCCTGACCCACCAGTACAAGTACGAGGCGGGCGAGATCCGCTGGGGTGCCGAGGGCCGCGACGTCTGCGCTGCCAATGGCTCTGGCAGCGACAAGGGGCCCGACCCCGACCTCATCTGCCGCAACCGGACGGCTACCAACATGATGTACTTGCTGCTCATTGGGGCCCAGGTGCTCCTGGGCATCGGTGCTACCCCAGTGCAGCCCCTGGGCGTCTCCTACATCGACGACCACGTGCGGAGGAAGGACTCCTCGCTCTATATAGGTAGGAGCTGCCCCAGCCGTGTCAGCAAGAGACCGGGGTGTGTTGACGGTGGATAAAAGGGTGGCCTGGTGGACTTTGATTTTGCCGTTGTACTGGTTCTCAGACTTGGCTGCACACCCAGTGTTCTTGAAAAATACTTATGCCTGGGGTTGCAACCTGGGCATTGAGACGTTTTTAAAAGTTCCCAGGTGATTCTCATGAGCAGCCGAATTTGAGCTCCAAGGGACTAGACCACTAACCGCTTCAGTGGGAAAACATGACCGGGAGTTGTATGTTTCTCTCTTCTTTTTGGGTGTGTATGTGGACTTTGGGCCTTCTGATGTTAGCCACCAATGTATACTTGGGGTCTACACATTGGAAACTGCAGCTTTGAAGAATCAAAATGATGTCCTGGTGATTGTCCTATTGCAGCTCAAAAGGAGAGGTGATGGCTTTGCCAGCATTTGGCATCATTCAAAGTTGGTGACTTCCGGTAATTTTTTCAATAACGGAAGTATGCATGGGAATTGGGTATTTAGAGAGAAATAAGGTATTTGTGTTTTGAAAAGTTATTTTTCACTGTCAGTTTCCGATGTTTTATACTGGAAGGATGGAAACCACTTGTGGGTGGGGGTTAAGAATCATCTGAGTGGCAAGTTATTTATTATGTGGCGGGCGGTGTTTTCAGTCTCTGTGGTGGGTTCTGTTGGATGGCTGCGTGTGAGGTGAGAGCTGGCCAGCCCAGCATCTCTATCCCTTGTTTACAAAGTGTAATTTTGTCTCCTGTCAGCTGCTGGATTTTTCTGACACATCCCCAGTCACTGAGTGCTAAGCTTTGAAAAAAATTACCTCTACCCAGGGAAGCTTTTTGCCTCCCAAAAGCAATGTGCCTTGAGGTAGAAAGTTAATTATATTATGGAGGTTTAAGTGAAAATAGAATTTGAACTGGATTTGACATAAAGGTTCCTAACTGCCAAGCTTCAAGCTTGCTGAGATAGGACGGTTTGGAAGCAGGACACACCAGAATGCGGATTTTTCTCTGTGTCTTTCTGACCCAGCTTTGGAGTAGATGCATTTACTGAACACGTATGTTGCACACAGATGTTCTGACTGGCTGTGAACAGGCTCTGGGCAGGAAAGGTGGAAGGAATGTGCGTCTCCATTCAGAGGATGGAGCACCAGTGTGCCTAGCCACCACCTACCTATGGAACAAAGTGGAAGAGAAAACGGCTCAGGCCAGAGATGGTTAGGGGTTTCCATTATTACCTGAGAGTGGGTATGGTGGAGGAAGGGAACTAAGGTAATCGTTTTTCTTTCATTGCCTTAAGGCTTGAGTGAAAGCTGCTCCATGTGAGTTTTTTGCACACCAGATCATGGACTACAGCATGTAGCCACAAAAGTCTCCTGAGGTCCACCCTCTGACTTGACTGATGTCACCCTAGGACTCTGGGAGAGTAGGTTTCTGGTAGGAATAACAGGAAGTAGATCCATCAGAGCACAGGGAATGAAATGGGGAGTGAAAACCTGAGTTGTTGTCTCTGCTCTTAGAATCAACTAGAAAAATTTCTCCCCAGAGTCACCCCTGAAGTCCCAACAGTGCTGTATCACTTCTGCCTAGGGCTTTCAGCCATAGTCGCTGAACCCTCTTCTGGAAGTGTCTCCTGATGAGTTAAGTTGTGCTATTTCCCCACACTGGGTGAGGGTTGGTTTGAATGTGCCAAAAGCTTTATGGTGAGGAAGCACTTTGGTTTGGGACATAGGGGTGTGGGAGGTGGACGCATGGACTGTAGGGCTGATCATTTGAGGCAGGAGGTCTTCTTGAATTCTGAGGCCTTGTCTATGGGATTTGCATTGAGTCTTTGGTAGGAAGAACTATTCAGCCAAATTTCTGTTTGGTCACCCCATTCCTCTATGATAAGTCTACATTGGGGGAGTGTCTCTTTGCATGACGTATGAACATCTTGGTGGCTCTGTTACATATGGCCAGGTTCCAAAACATCGTAGCCCATGCCGTGGAGATGATAGTTCTGTGTCTCTCTGCACTGGTTTCATGGGTTTGTGTTTATAGGGATCAGGAGAGGAGAAATCTTTTGCATAGATTGACCTCAATAGGTGGCCTTTTATTCCATATGTGGTTTATCTCCAGGTATAATTTAAGATCATAGCATATGCAGAGCATAACTGGTTCATTTATTTATTGTATGAGCTATAAAAAAAGTGTTTGTGGTAGTGAGAATATTTCAAAGTTTATCTCCTCTAATATGGCACTAGTTCCTGAAGCCACTTAACTTTACTTCAGAGTATTTGGGGTAGCCCACTGAACAGTATTGATATAAAATTCTGGTCTCTTAACTCCCTGAAGAGGAGGAAAGTCTCAAGGGACTGATGCTGGGACCCTAGGTGTAAACGTATATCCATCGGGGAGGAATAACATGTGTACCCCTGGTTCCAGCTCCTGCAGAGCTGGTCTAGAGAGGGACCCACAACCAGCTGTCTGATCATATGCCTAAATTGTGATACCATAGTGGAGATTGAAAGGATTCTAAATATGGCATGTGTAAAACACCAGCTTGTTCTTGAGCTGAGCCTTCCCTGTGGGTGTCAGCAGGGAAGAGAATGATCAACATGCACAGCTCAGGCTGCAGGTCAGTGGTGATGATACCTGTCCCTGGGTTGCCCACATCGTGGGTCACTAGATGGGTGCTGTTTGTGCATTGGTGGCTGTGTCATAGCTTCCACTACAACCCAGGGCAAAGTGAAGCATTCCATCCTGAATTAAGCTGATATTTTCCAGTGAAATGACTTACTTGCTTTGACCTCTTGTGGCTGAGCCACTGCCAGACTCCTGGATTCCTGGATGGGCTATTCACAAGGGGCTCCTCTGGCTGGCACCATTCTTCAGCCAGTCCTTTCCATTGTGGGAGGGAGCCAAGGGAACTCATTACCAGGGGACAAAACTGGATGAATGGGGACTCAGCTCTGCTGGCAGGCTTTCACTGCAGCATCATGTGGCACCCAGCCTCACAGTGCAGCCAGATAGTGACCCGTGGGTGGCACGTGGCACTCTTTGTTCTTAGAGTGACTGCATGGGCACGGTGGCAGTGGAGACCACGGGGCCCCTACTGAGGTCCAAGAATCCATTCTTTGGGAGTCTAGTCATGCCTGTAGCTCCATGTTGTGACCTTCCATTAACCCAGTTTTCTTAGCTGTCCTTCTGTTTCTCTAAGTTCAAAACACAAGTCGTATTTGCTTTTTATGAAAGTGTAAGTAGGATGATGTAATGGACTTACTGTGCTCTTTCATTAGGTTGCCCCCCCTTTTTTTTCCAAGGAGGAAAAGGTGAAATGGGAGTAGTAAAGATTTCTAAATAACTTTATTCCTAGTTAAAAAGCATTACATGTTCACTGTTTACAATTTTGAATATGTAGAAAAAGAATAATTAGAGAATATTTACTTGTAGCTTTATGGTGTATATAATTCCATTCTCTTTTCTGCATTAGTATGCTTTTCTATGAAAATATGTTCATGATAAATGATGTTTTGTAATTTCATTTCTCTTAATATTTCATGAGAATTTCCTTGTTACTAAATATTCTATGACATTATTGCTGCATATATAATATTCCCTTCTGAATATATATGATAATATTTAATACTTTCTATAGTTGGACATGGATTTTTAAAATTTTTGCTGTTTTAAACAAAGCAGATAGGTAAAGTGTGATTCCGAGAGGTTGAGTAACTTACCCAAACTCATTTACCTGGATAGGGCTGGGCTGTGCATCTAAAAGTGACGCTTATTTCAGGTATGTCTGGGATCTGCTCACAAGGCTGGGATGGGAGCTCAAGGGTAGTGCCTGGTCCTAGGAGTCAGGTGCAAGCCAGGGCATTCCATGAGACAGCCCGAAGCCTCCTGGGCATAAAAATTGCAGCAGGAGCCAGGAAGGTGGGAAGACAGCAGTGTGTCTGGAGTCCAGGGAGAGAGGTGCTACTGAAATGGAGAATGAGTGTCAGAGCCAGAATGGAGAGTTAGAAGTAGGATGGAGAGAGAGGAAGGTGGTCTTAGCTAAGGTTCATGTCTGGGTTCTGGAAAGAGCTTGTGCCCCTGTTTCATAGTGCTTTGAGCTGAGATGGCTGCAAATCAGACCTTAGACATCTGGGGCAGGAGCAGCTGATCTGTTCCATCTTTTGCTCAGCTCTTTCCAGTAATGTGGGCGCCATACCTTCACATGCCATTCATTCTGTTTCTGAACTGCAGTAGCTGCTAGGAGGTTTTTTTTAATGTTGTGTTAGAAATAGGCCACCTTACAACTTCCCATACCCTGTGTTCTGGTTATGCCCTCTGGATCTACCATGAAAAATCCCTATCCCTCTTCCATATTTTGATGGCTTCCCAAATAGTTGAGCACTAACCTTTCATGGGTAGGCGGAGGGTATCTAAAGCTTGGCTCTTCTAGGCTAAGACCTTTGCTCTGTGCTTGATGGGGTTTCCTACCATACTTCCTTCTTAAGAGGGATGCCAAGGGCTGGGGAGCTCATTACCAGAGGACAAAACCAGATGAATGGGGGGTGTGGGATATGGCATTGTATTAGTTTGCTAGGGCTGCCCTCAGCAAACACCACAGACTGGGTGGCTTAAATGACAGAAGTATATTTTCTTATAGTTTTAGAGGCTGGAAGTCTTAAGATTAAGGTGCCACAGGGTTGGCATCCTCTGCAGTCTCTCTCCTTGAATTTCAGATGGTTGCCTTTTCTCTGTGTCCTCACGTGGTCTTTCTTCTGCATACACATCCCTGGTGTCTCTCTGTGTATCCAATTTACTCCTCTTACAAGGTCACCAGTAAGATTGGTTTAGACCCACCCATATTAGTTCATTTAACCTTAATTGCCTCTTTAAAGAACTTGTCTCCAAATATAGTCAGTCACATGCTGATGTTCTGGGGGTTAGGGCTTCAATATATGAATTTGGGGGAAGGAACACTATTCAGCCTGTAACAGACACCAAAGAGATCAGTACCAAA